CTTACGAAGTGTAATTACTTTCTCATTTTAGCGAACTAACCTTTACATTTACAATGTGAAGTAAAGCTAAACGCATACATCACAACTAAATCCAAGTTCCTGTTTTACCCGAATTAACTTCAACAGGAACCTTTGATAATAATAAAGTGCTATTTAACATGAGGTAGATCTTGGCTAACCGGACGAGGACCCAGATATCAGTCACTGAACTATTTATTGAATAGTCGTAGGGCATTCCTCCTTTGCGTCTATTTTTTAGGTGCTATGAAAAGCGCATTCCTAGAGTAGCGATGATCGTGAGATGCATCGGTCAAGGGTCGAATACGTAATTTTACCCTCTTTGACATTTGTACATAGTGTAAGGTACGGCCATCACCCTTGGAGTCGTTCGTCGAGAGCTTTATAGGTTGGAAATTAAATGTACTGTTGCGATCATCGCCCACGTTGCTAGACGTCTACCTGCACCCAAGAGCATGGAAAATGAAGTAAATAAAGTAAAAATAAAGTTTTCTGTTAAGAGGAATGTGAGAGTCGGAGATATGAAGCAAATAAATAGGTTTTTTATTCGTTTTAGTAGCAAATTAGTAGCTACAGAAAGCTTTCCAAAATATATTACTCCATTAAAATTTAAGCTAGCTGTGAGTTCTACTGTTATGAAACATTTTGTCTCCAAAACAACTGATAAAGTCTAGCCCAAGTCACCTTCGTTTCTACCACACTTTTATCTCTTAAATCTCTATTTACATGTGATCATGGGATCGTTTGAAGCAAAGGAAATGGGCTAATCACCTTGAAAAATGTGCTGTTTATGGAAGATTAGAATGAGACAGTAGCCTTTCCATCCTAAAGCAAGAAATGTGGTCTTCTTGCAGGTTTGAAGAATAAAACATTGTTTTGACTGACTAGTCTTGATCGTTTCCCAAGAAAATTTTTCTCTGACGTTTGAGCCATACCGTAGATAAATCCTGGCCATAATTATTTGGTCTTCAACAAGTGAATAATTCCTAATGGCGTATTGCGCCTGCAGCCCACCACGAAGCACAGCCTCGTGGAGATGACGTGGTGTGTACCCTAGAAGCGAATGGGTAGCTTGAGGATAGTCGGGGTTGGAATGCAAAATCAAAATGCATTTCACAAGTCAATCAAAAATAATCGGCATGACACGGCGCATTCTCGCAATGTAGGCAAAGAATTTCGTTGAAACCAGTTGTTTCATCAATCAAGGCATTGAATATCACTGAAAGCTCTTGACACGTAATTCTTCTTTAATAATTCCAAAGGTGGAGGATCTTTCTCAACATGATGCAGTTACCCCCCAACGATTATCACCATAACAAAGTACTCTTTTTAATCCATTCATGTACATCTCTCCGCATTCTATTTAGTAACTTCTTAAGAGAAGCCATCTTCTGCAGCCGCAGTCAAGCAAACCGCCACTGTTTACTAAATTTGAGTTCACACTTCCGACAGTAACTACCTTTTTTGACGAAATTTACAATTTGGAATAGCACAACAGAAGTGAAATTTGCTTGCAAGGAAAATAGATTTAGTGGAAGGCAAATGTAATACGATAGTGGTTTATCCCTCGGTTCTGGTGAGGCGCCACTTTTGTACTTTGAGTTGACCTTCTTGTACCTCGCTGGGTGGGGCTGGCCTTTTAAGCCATGCCAGTAGCCCAGACACCCTCTCTGCGCTGAATATATGTATTCTGCCCGAGTATGGTGTCTTCTTTTCCAGTTTTATTCTATAATGATGCCGGTACATGGAAATTAGTCAATTGAAACTGACACTAGAATTAATATAGATGCAGTGTTACCAGTGGGGGTAATCAAATTTAACTGCTATAAGCGTTTGCAATGGAAATCATCTTTTTACATTTAGGATCGAGAATTTGACATCAGCGTAGTCGTTTTTGAAGAAAGATGTCTTCTCACCGGGTTTCAATTTTCTCCACAGGCCTTTAATTCCTGGAGCAGTGCCCTTGTTTTCAACCGAAGATAGTCTAAATTTGAAAGCTTCTTATTTGTATCGGTAGGAGGTTTTTTTGGAGGGACGAGGTCTTATGAGGCCCACACTTAAGTACTTTTCATGAAAAGTTTCTCTTTCACACTTTTACTGTATATAATGTTGGATAGATAGATCTCAGCCATAATAGTTTGATTAGTAACAAGTAAACAATTCCTAGTGAAATGCTGCGCCTGCATTCAAATACACATGCACAGGCACATAAAATGGGGCAGTCTTGGGTTGCAGTGATGTGTGTTAAAAGTACGGGTTTGAAGAGTGGCGGTGGGTGTTTTGCTGATGACAGATGGTGTGAGCATTCAGTTAACAAACCAAGCCATTCTTGATTAAACGGAGTTTTCAAATGAAGGAATGAGCACTATCAAGATTAGGTACTTAGGTATTTGCATTTCAAAAATACCCGTTTGCCTTCAGCACTGATTTAAAAAACCATCTAAAGAGAGCCTCTTAAGGTCCATTACTTCCTTTGTCAATACCTCCTAAATTAACTGCTCGTCGAAAAAAGTTCATATTTGAATTAAAATAATCCACTTATAAAAAATAAGAGCCTTTATCCTGTGCTACCAATAGACTGTGCTCTTTGTAGCACAGGTACAACTCAATTCAACATGCAATAAAATAACAAAGCACTACAAGGCAGCAAAGTGCTTGCAAACAGAGGTTAGGAATAACTTTGCAATACATTAACTGATTGTTTAACGATCAGTATTGGTAAAAGACCACTTTGTCTTGGCCATTGTACCTCACCGGGTAGGCTGGCCTTCGGGACATGCCAGCAACCCTATTAACTTCTGTAGGTCGAACATTCATATTCTGCACAGGTATTATACCTTCTTTCATCTTCAGAGAAGGCTTGGAACCCCACATTAGTAGTGGTGGAAGGCGAACCCAATCTTAAAGGACATCCATCCCGATTTCCACTGCTGGGTAATAAACCTTAGCGGGGCAGAAGAAGCACATACGCCACAGA